GGCCACGTTTCCCCGCACTGCCAGCACAAGGTGGATTCCGACGGGTTACGCACCTTATGTTTCGACTGAAGGTGGCCGATGATGATGGTACAGCGTTCCTGAACATCTCCTTGCGCCCAATATTTACATTTGTTGGCAGCACAAGTCCACCAGTCAGCTGCAGGGGTCTTCCATCGAATCTCCGGAGCGGTCGTCAGACACCTAATGCGAGGCTGTGTTTCACTCCATAAGGCCTGTGTAGACTCCGGGTTGCTGGATGAACTCGATGTTGTCGGTAGACCGTCTTGCGATGTTGCCATGTTCGAATATCGCTTTGTTTAAATAACTTGTCGCAACGCATTAGGGATAATCGCAGGTGTCAACCCAATCGAAGTGCAATGAAAGGGCCTCACCCCGGAGGAACCGCCTTTATGATCACGGTAACCTCGGTGCCAGGCAAGGGTGAAGTGGTCATTTTGGTGACCGTCTGAGCATTTAATTGCATGAGGCACGAAAAATCAAAATTGCATGTGAAAACCACCTAATACTACAACAATAAAACTATCCAGCAAATACAAATTTTTGTATGCATGTAAAGGCTTTCAAAGATAATTTCCGGGTTAGATTTAGAAAGGTCAATAATGCGCAAAATTATTCCTCAAAAGGCGGGGTAGAGACGTTGAGGATACAGTCAAAATAATCGCATTTCATTGTCCGTAGCTACATCACGCGTAGAATATAAAAAATGCTATGGTTTGAGTACGGCCTTCCTATAGGAACGTGCGATTTGAACCCACGCACAAGAAGTGATGAGAACATGATGACTACTGTGCGTTCACGTCGCTGACGCAAGAGCATTGCACAAATGCTCTCTTCTGAACATTGCTTTATCGTTCATTTGGCAAACTCAATTTTAGTACACAAAATAGAATGGCTCTTCTCAAATCAAAATATTTTATTAATGATAAACTTGATATTTTATTAATTTCTTCTCACAGGAGATAAAAATCTTTAAAAGCTTGATTTTAACAATTATATTTATTATTATTATAATTATTGTTTACGTCAAAAACGGTTAAAAACTGTGCTATGGAGAGATGTGAATTTGATGTTACATTTATGACCAGAAGCCAAACAAGGAGCCATCTCAGAATTTGCTAGAGGATCAGGGAAACTGGACGAAAACCTGATAGAGATGGAGGTCATTGACCCAGAAGATAAAGTACAATACTTGTTTCAGGTTCTTTACAATTATACAATCCAAACGGCATAAAATACATTAAATATTATTGTTAAAATTAATATTACTTTCCTTTTCCTATGTTCGGTATAGTCTCTTAAGTGTATAAAACAATTCTGCAGCAGAAAATAATTTACTTGGGACTTAAACGATTAAATCCGATACAAAAGTTTTAATATCTGGCAAGGTGTTGTAAAATAATGTA